CAAAGGAGTACATTAATAAATCTAAAACAATGTGGAAACAGAGAGAGAGAGCAACATCCTAACAACCTAGAAAACCAAAGGTGGGGTGAGTCACAGTGGTGGAGGGAGACAGCCAACCTATCATTAAACTATGGATACAGAGATATGATGGAAAGCGGGTATAAGAAGAGGGATGGTAAAAAGAGTTTTATAAACTGAAAGTCTGTAAAATAGCATTGATACCCTAACACAGCACAGTAGACAGCCTGGAATTTATCCTGTAGGGCTATGATCCCTAAAGAAAATGAACACAAACAGAATAACAAAGGCTGTCAGTGTGGATACTGGTACTCCAGAATAAAGTTCTCCAGATTCTGGTGCCCGGCATCATGGTGGTGTTCTGCCTATTCACCTTTAAGAAAAATCCTTGGTAAGGACACAGGGCTTTCAATTAGTTCTCTAATCGTTCATCTCATAAATATGAAAAGCTGACCAAGTATAAGTAAACATTTGAGGAAAACCTCCAACCCCCAAAGATAGAGACCAAGATAAACAACTAGAAAACTGATCCTAGAGGAGAGAAATGCATTCAGGAAGAACACGATTTCTAAAACTACAGTTGACCCTTGAACAACATGGGTATGAATTATGCGGGACTATTTATATGCAATTTTTTTTGATAAATACAGTACAGTCCTGTAAACGTATTTTATGATTTTCTTAGCAACATTTTCCTTTCTCTAGCATACGTTATTGGAAGAATATAGTATCTAATATACAACATAAAAAACAACGTGTTAATCAACTACGTTATGGGCAAGATGAGGATTCTGGTCAATAGTATGCTTTTAGAGTTGAATTTTTGGGGATTTGAAACATACATGGACTTAAAAAAATTTTTTTTTAACATTTTTATTTATTATTGACAGAGAGAGGCAGAGCATGAACATGGGAGGGGCAGAGAGAGGGGGAGACACAGAATCCGAAGCAGGGTCCAGGCTCTGAGTTGTCAGCACAGAGCCCAATGCAGGGCTCGAACTCATGACCTGAGCCGAATTTAGATCATACATGGACTTTTGACTGTGTTGGGGGTCAGCGTCCCTAACCCCTGTGTTGTTCAAAGCTCAACTATAATTATGTGAACAAAGAGATCTTAAATGGTATTGGCTTCCAAACGGAGTAAGATTCACTAAAGGAAAAGTAATGAGTGAAAAAGAAGCTTCAGAAAATAGTCTTCTAAATGTAGGAGAAAAAAAATTACCCATGGAGATGATAAATGCACCAAAAAGAGATAAGAGACAAAGGCAATCAATTCAGAAGGTCCAACATCTGAATAATGGGAGTTGCAGAACAAGAGATTTGGGAGGATATAATTAAAGAAATACAAGAAATGTGTGGGGATTAAATGGAATCTCCATTTAAATCAGAAGAGCCCAGGGGCGCCTGGGTGGCTCAGTCGGTTGAACGTCCGACTTCAGCTCAGGTCACGATCTGCAGTCTGTGAGTTCGAGCCCCGCGTCAGGCTCTGGGCTGATGGCTCAGAGCCTGGAGCCTGTTTCCGATTCTGTGTCTCTCTCTCTCTCTGCCCCTCCCCCATTCATGCTCTGTCTCTCTCTGTCTCAAAAATAAATAAACGTCAAAAAAAATTTTTTTTTAAATAAATCAGAAGAGCCCTCCTGGTGGTAACCTGGATTACTTTTACCTACAAAGAGATAAATTACTAAGGAAATTTCAGAATCCAGTGTTATGATCCTAAAGGCTTCTAGGGGCGGAAAAGGTTTAAAAGGGCAATAATCACACTGGCATTAAATGTCTCATTTAGAAACCCAGGATAAAAAAGGACCGTGAGGCAATGACTTCCAAATCCTGAGTAAAATCTTTCTTTTCTTTCTTTTTTTAGCCATTCTAACTCTGAATTGCATTGGAGGGCAGAGTCTTTTAAACATGGAGGGATTTTCCTTCCCTTTCCCTTCCTTTCCTTAGTAGGCTCCACACTGGGCAAGCCCCAATGTGGGGCCTGACCTCATGATCCTGAGATCAAGAGTCAGCCGCTTAACTGAGTCACCCAGGCGCACCTATCATTCATCTTTTCTGAAGCAGTTACTTGAGGACAGAAAACAAAAGGTAAAACTGAGATAGAAAACATAAGATCCAGGTAAACAGTGAGTCCAAAAGAGAGGACAGGAAAAAAAGGTTCCAAGAGAAGAATTGTAAAGAAAACTATGGGGATTCAGAAGTGCACTTGTGATGAGTACTAGGTCATGTATGGAAGTGCTAAGTCACTATATTGCACACCTGAAACTAATATAGCACCATATATGTTAACTATACTGGAATTAAAAAAAAAAAACCTGAAATGCATTTAATCTGAAATTAATCCAGAGCCAGAGACCAGAGGTCTCTAAGAGAGATATCAGGGAAAACACATAGACAAGAAAGTATACCTGAAACACTGGAGGTACATGATAAAAGGAGATGACACAAAGCAGAAAAATAGAATTTCAGAAAACCACCAAAAGTCAAACAAAAAAGGATATACAATTATAGGTATAGCTGTTAAAGTAACATAAGTTACTGACGGATTATTGATTTTCTACTTTCAAAATCAACATGATTAAACATGCATCTAGGGGGCTGACTGTAATCCTTTCTAGGGACTTCAGAGGGCAGGCACCATCTTTGTGCTCTCCTGCCATGCTCTGGAGCACCAGGGCCTGCTAGAGGGTAATTTTACATGCAGTTGGTACTCTGGTTTTTATGTCCTGTGCCCTGGTTTTTGAAGCTGCCACTGAGAGGATAACCTATCATCACCCGGTTCTGGTGGCCGATGGGGCTTGCATTCCAGTCCCATGGGACTGTAGAAGTCAAAGAGATGCTTCTTGGCAGGAAACTATCTCCAGGGCACTGTGCAGACTGCATATCAAGGCACAACCCCTAGTCTTTCTGTGAAGGAGACCTCTTGGCTTGTCCTGGGACTTCAGTCTCAGAGACAGGCTTCAGGTTTGGCATACATCTAGTAGATTACAGAGCTGCTCTCAAGGAACGTAGCTGTGGACACCTCTTGGCACTCTTCCTCTGCCTTGCTCCAGCTTGCCAGTATCTACCAGAAAAGAGATTATACACTTATCTAGAGGCCTGATTTTTGCAACTGCTGCCCAGGGGACACTGGACAGTAAGACTTATGCTTGTGATTCCACGGGAATGTATGTATCTGCACACATTTAAAAGCTGCTGCCTACGGGTCTGGCTTCCAAAGAGCCTGATTCTAGGTGCTTAAATCCTCCCCTTAGGGACATTCTCAATTACTGGGAGCTATTAAGAACTGCTGGGCATATTCTCAAATCCTGGGATCTATGAGAAATATAATAGGCTAATTGGACAAACACAAAGTTTTGAAAGACAACAAAGAGTTGGGGTAGGGTTAAACAATAAGGTTCATCTCCTACATGAGGCCACTCCTTCAAGACTGGGAGAGGTGGCTGTTTTCAACCAACCAACAGAGTCAAGCAAAATGATCAATCAGAAGAATATGTTTCAAATGAAAGAACAAGATAAAACCTCAGAAAAAAAAAAAAAACTCTTAATGAAACAGAGGTAAGTTCAAAACAATGGTCACAAAGCTGCTCACTGAACTTGGGAGAAGAAGGGATGAACACAGTGAGAACTTTAATAGAAAGAGAAGAAATACTAAAAAGTACCCCAATAGAAGTCACAGAGCTGAAGAATAGAATAACTGAACTGAAAAATACATGAGATTCAACAGCAGATGAATGAAATAGAAGAAAGGATCGGTCAACTCAAAGACAGTGAAACTTAATTAGAGTAGGAAAAAAAGTGAAGACAGTTTAAGGGGCTTATGAAACAATATCAACTGTATGAATATTTGCATTATAGAGGTCCCGAAGGTGAAGAGAAAAAGAAAGGGGTAGAAATCTTGTTTGAAGAAATAATGGCTGAAAACTTCTATAACGTGGGAAAGGAAACAGACATCCAGATCTAGGAAGCCCAGAGAATTCCGAAAAAGATGAATCCAAGGAGATCCACACCAGGACACACAATTAAAATCTTAAAAGTTAAAGACAAGGAGAAAAAGAACTCATTATGTACAAAGGAACCACCATAAAATTATGAGCAGACTGTTCAGCAGAATTCTCTGCAGGCCAGAAGGGAAGAGTACAATATATTCAAAGTACTGAAAGAAAAAAACCTTCCAACCAAGAGTACCCTATTTGCAACGTTATCATTCAATACTGAAGGAGAGATGAAGTTTTCCAGACAAGCGAAAGCTAAAGGAGTTCATCACCATTAAAGCAGCTTTATAAGAAAAAGAAATGTTAAAGCGACTTCTTTAAGCTGAAAAGAAAAGGCCCTAAGTGGCAGCAAGAAAACGTAAGAATGTATCTCACTCAAGAAGCAAACATATTGTAAAGAAAAATAATTAATCACCATAAAGCTAGATGGAGGTTAAAAGACAAAAGCAGTAAAAACAACTATGATTATAATAATGAGTTAAGGGATACAGTTAAGGGATACACAAGTAAAAAGTGACATCAAAACAAAAAACATGGGGTTGGGAGAGCTTTAGAATGGGCTCAAACTTAAGTTGTCATTAACTTAAAACAGATTATTAGATGTAAGTTGTTGTATGTAAGCTTCATGGTAACCACAAAGCAAAAATCTATAGTGAATACACAAAAGGTAAAGAGAAAGGAATACACAATTATATCAGTAAAAAAAGTCATTAAATCACAAAGGAAGAGAGCAAGAGAAGAAACAGAGAGGAACTACAAAACCAGTCAGCAAACGACTAAGTACATACCTATCAACAATTACTTTATATGTAAATGGAATAAATGCTCCAATCAAGACATAGAATGGTTGAATGGATAAAAAGCCAACACTCATCTATATGTGGCCTACAAGAGACTCACTTCAGATGTAAGAACACACAGACTGAAAATGAAAGTATAGAATGATATCCCGTGCAAATGGAAACCAAAAGAAAGCTGGACTAGCTATACTTTTATCAGAAAAAAATGGACTTTAAAACAAAGACTGTAATAAGAGACAAAGATGGCATTATGAAATGATAAAGGGGTCAATCCTACAGTAGGATATGACATTTATAAATACGTATGTACCTAACATTGAAGCACCTAAATATACAAAGCAAATATTAACAGATCTCAAGGGAGAAAAGGACAGCAATAATATGGTAATAACAGGGAGTTTTAATATCCTACTTACATTGATGGACAGATCATCCAAACAAAAAATCAATAAGGAAACTAAGGTCTTAAATGACTCATTAGACCAGATGGACTTAACAGATACATACAGAATATGCCACCCAGAGGCAACAGAATACACACTCTTCCAAGTGTACATGCAACATTCTCTCAGACAGATTGTATGTTCACAAAACAAGTATTAATAAATATAAAAGGACTGAAATCATATCAAGCATCTTTTCTGACACCAGTATGAAACTAGAATTACAAGAAAACTAGGAAATAAGAGATTAAACAACATGCTACTGAACAACCAATGAGTCAAAAAAATTAAAAGAGAAATAAAAAAATATCTTGAGACAAATGAAACTGAAACGTACCAAAATTTGTGGGATGCAGTACTTCTAAGAGGGAAGGTCATAGTGACAAATGCCTACCTTAAGAAACAAGAAAAGTCTCAAACAACGTAACTTTACACCTCAAGGAACTAGAAAAAGAAAAACAAAGCTCAAAGTTAGTACAAGGAAGGAAATAACAAAAACGAGAGCAGAAATATATAAAAAAGAGACTAACAAGACAACACAGAAGATCAATGAAACTAAGGGCTGGTTCTCTGAGAAGATAAACAAAACTGACAATCCTTTAAACTAGACTAAGAAAAAAAAGATGACTCAAAATCAGAAATGAAAGACGAGAGGTTACAACTGCGCCTACAAATATACAAAAGATTATCAGTGACTACTATGAAACAATTATATGCTAACAAACTGGACAACCAAGAAGAAATGCATAAATTCCTAGAAACATATAACTTACCAAGACTGAATCATGAAGAAACAGAAAATCTGAACAGACCAATAACTAGGAAGGAGACTGAATCAGTAATAAAAAATCTCCCAACAAACAAAAACCAGACAGGTTCACTGGTAAGTTCTACCTTAGAGTCAAAGAACAATACCAATTCTTCTCAAACTCTTCCAACAACCAGAAGAGGAGGGAGACTTTCCGAATTCATTTTACGAAGGCAGATATACCCTGATCCCCAAACCAGACAAGGATACCAAAAGGTGGGAAAATTACAGGTTAATATCCCTGATAAACATAGATGCAAAAATCCTCAACAAAATATTAGCAAACCAAACTCAACAATACATTAAAGGATCATTCACCACAATCAAGGGGGACTTATTCCAGGGATGCAAGGATGGTTCAACATCCGCAAATCAGTCAACATGACACATATTAATAATAATAAGGATTAAAAATTATGATCATCTTGATAGATGAAGAAAAAGATTTAACAAAACTCAACATCCATTTATGATAAAAACTCTCAACAAAGTAGGTATAGAGAGAACATACCTTAACATAATAAAGGTCACATATGACACGGCCCACACCTGACACTGTATTCAACAGCAAGAAAGCCTTTTCTCTAAGATCAGGAACAAGACAAAGATGTTCATCTCACTGCTTCTATTCAACACTGTACTGGAAGGCCTAACCAGAGCCATTAGGCAAGAAAAAGAAATAAAAGGCATCCAAATTGGAAAGGAGTACAACTGTCACTATTTGCAGATAACGTGAGATTATATATAGAAAAACCTAAAGACTCCATCAAAGAACAGAACTAATAAATTCAGTTCAGTTGCAGAAATCAGTACACATAAATTGGTTGTGTTTCTATATAATAATGATGAACTATCAGAAAGAGAAATTAAGAAAATAACACCATAAATAAAATACCTAGGAATAAACTTAACAAGGAGGTGAAACACCTGTATATTGTAAACTATGAAACATTAATGAAAGAAAATGAAAAAGACACAAATGAATGTAAAGACAGTCTATACTCTGGATCAGAAGAATCAATATTGCTGATTAAATAAATGTACATACTACCTAAAGCAATCTACACATTCAATGCAATCCCCATCAAAATTCCAATAGCCTTTTACAAAGAAAAAGGAACAAATAACCCTAAAATTCTTTTCTTTTTTAAATTTTTTTTTTCAACGTTTATTTATTTTTGGGACAGAGAGAGACAGAGCATGAACGGGGGAGGGGCAGAGAGAGAGGGAGACACAGAATCGGAAACAGGCTCCAGGCTCTGAGCCATCAGCCCAGAGCCTGACGCGGGGCTCGAACTCCCGGACCGCGAGATCGTGACCTGGCTGAAGTCGGACGCCCAACCGACTGCGCCACCCAGGCGCCCCTAACCCTAAAATTCTGTATGGAACTGTAAAAAAAAACCCAAACAAACCAGTAACCAAAAAAATCTTGAGAAAGAACAAAGATGGAAGTTTCATGCACCTTGATTTCAAACTACATTACAAAGCTACAGTGGTCAAAAAGAGTATGATACTGACATAAAAATAGGCTCATAGATCAACGGAACAGAATAGAGAACCCAGAAATAAATCCATGCATATATGGGTTTAAATTAATTTATGACAAAGGAGCCATGAATATATATAATGGGGAAAGAATAGTCTCTTCAATAAACAATGCTGGGAAAACTGGACAGTCATAGCATAAGAATGAAATTGGACCACTATTTTACACCATACACAAATAGAATAAACACTTATAAGACGGGAAACCATGAAACTACTAGAAGAAAATATAGGTGGTAAACTCCTTGGCAAAGGTTTTGATTTTTTTCTTAATTTGACACCAAAAGCAAAAGTAAATGGGACTATATTTTATACTAAAAAGCTGCACAGCAAAGGAAACCATCAACAAAATGAAAGGCAAGCTACTGAATGGGAGGAAACATTTGTAAATCATGTATCTGATAGGGGGCTAATATCCAAAATATTGAAGAATTCATAAAGCTCAACAGGGACAAAATTCAATTAAAAAATTTAGATCTTCTAAAAGAAGATTTGAATAGACATTTTTCCAAAGACGGAGAGATGGCCAACAGATACATGAAAACATGTTCAACATCACTAACCAGCGGGGAAATGCAAATCAAAACCTTAATGAGATATCACCTCACATCCGTTAGAAGGGCTATTAGCAAAAAGACAAGAAATAACAAGTGTTGGTGGGGATGTGGAGAAACTGGAATACTCATACATTGCTCATGTAAATGTGAAATAATATAAACACTTTGGAAGTCTGTTAAGTTTCTCAAAATGTTAAATGTTAGAATTACCATATGACCCAATAATTCTACTTCTAGGTATATATCCAGAAATGAAAACATGCGTCCACACACAAAGAAACTGTACACAACTGTTCACAAGAGCATTAATCTTAATAGCCCCAAGTGGAAACAACTGAAATGTCCATCAACTGATGCACGGATAAATAAAAGTATATATATTCGTATGATGGAGTATTATTCAGCCATAAAAAGAAATGAAGTACTGACACATCTGCAACATGGATGAACCTTAAAAACATTATACTAAGTAAGTGAAAGAAGTCAGCCACAAAAAGACCTCATATAATACTCCATTTACATGAAATGTCCAGAATTGGCAAATTCAGAGACAGAAAGTAGATTAGCTGCCAGAATCTAGGGGAAGGGTGTAAGGTGAGTGGTAATCAGTTTCGGCTTTCTTGTTTTTGGTGGGGGATGGTGGTGGTGGTAGTGGTAAAAATGTTCTAAACTTATATTGTGGTAAGACGGTACGACTCTGCTCTAGGATAGGGGAGAGAGAGTAGAGGTAGGATAAGTGAATTAAGTCTTCTTTAATCAAAGCAGGACTTAGGGCACCTGGGTGGCTCAGTCGGTTAAGTGTGGTTAAGTGTCTGACTCTTGATTTCAGCTCAGGTCACGATCTCACAGTCGTTGAGATTGACCCTGCGTTGGGCTCGGGGCTCCTGCTTGGGATTCTGTCCTCTCTCCCTCTGCCCCTCCCTAGCTTGCACGTTTTCTTTCTTTCTTTCTTCCTTCCTTTCTTTCTTCCTTCCTTCCTTCCTCCCTCCCTCCCTTTCTCTCTCTCATAAATACATAAATAAATAAAATTTCAAGTTAAAAAAATCATAGCAGGAATAGACGGTAATAGGTAAAGCTGAGCAATCAAGAAATAGCAATAAGCATGATGGAGATGTGCACTAAACAGAATATGAAATGAATATAATGTTACATGTCGATTATATTCCAATAAAACAAAGCAACCAGCTACAAAGAAACAGCTCAAAGTAGTTGCCTTAGGAAGTAGGCCCATGACTGGGGAAAGGGTAGGGCAGAACACTGTGTAGCTTTTATTTAAAAAGGTTTCCATGCTAGGGGCACCTGGTGGCTCAGTTAGTTAAGCATCCTGACTCTTGAATTCAGCTCAGGTCAAGATCTCACAATTCGTGAGTTCAAGCCCCGCACTGTTAGCACAGAGACTGCTTGCAATTCTCTCTCTCTCTCTCTCTCTCTCTCTCTCTCTCTCTCTCTCTCTCT